TGAAATTTCATGAGCACCACGTTCTTCCTTAGGCCCTCCATAATCACGTGCTGAAGTTAAGGTATTCGGTGCACTTAATTTGGGGAAAAGTTTTATAAATATTTTGACGTTTATATGTATCTTTCATATCACCTTAAAATGTTGAATTTGTTAATAGCAGGAAGGAAACAAGAAATAGGTTATTTCACGTGGTTACACATATGACATACATTACCGTTTAGATATGTTTAGGAACAGGGCCTTTTCCCTGTACTGGATGATAATACATTTTAGTTATTAATTTATTTCTTAGTTTCATTTATTCAATAACTGATTTATTATTTTATGTTCTAGTTTCTTGAGTCTCCGTGACTAGTACTGCGACAATTTCTTTCATTGGTTTGTTCTTCACGAAATGTAGGAATTTACCCAGTCCCAAAACCCCCGAGCAATACTAAACCCTGTTAAAAAAACAAAGATATAGTAATTTTATAACAAACCTTTAGGAAGTTTTATTCAGACATGGTAAACCGATTTCATACCATTTTTATTATATACTTTAAAGATACATGTTATATACTCAGAGAATAAGTGTATTAATTTTACGAAATTTCCGAGAATTACCCCACGATGCATCAAATTATACATTTATTTCAAAATTAGTACTAAATACCTACTTCCTATTAAGACATGTTTAGAATTTAACTACACCTTATGCCCTATAGGTGTATGAATGCAATGAATATCTTCACCGGTATACATTGTCCATAACACTGAAAAAACCTGTCTGAATATACATTACAGATAGAAAATAGTAATCAAACGGCAAAACTAACAAATAACGAAGACGCGTTGCATCCCGCGATTGCGACACTTACGCGTAATCGACAAGAACGAGCCCAGAAAACAAAATTCCTGCGGTGGGAGACACTCGCCAAAAAAGAGGAGTTCATCCCGTTGCATCCCGCGATTGCGACACTTACGCGTGATCGACGAGAATGAACTCAGAAAACAAAATTCCTGCGGTGGGACACTCGTCAAAAAAGAGGAGCTCGACCCTCGGAAGACGAGAGGGACCAACGACGCAGAAGATGAAAGGCCAAGACGGAAACGTCGGAGACCCTGAGGTGCCCCAGAGGGAAGCTCGTCAGTCGTCACGACCGGAATCGATTGTCTCGGCGACGTGAAGCGAGAGAGAAAAAAGGCTGATGAGATTTACCGGGACGTCGTCGTCGTCGTCGTAGACGTCCTTGCGTCGTCGTCGAGTCGTCAGCGACGTCGTATCGACTGAAAGATAGTTCAGTAGGTCACAGGTGCGGCTCGTAACCCCGAACCTCGCACCTACACGGTGGGCTAGGGTGTGTGGATGTAGAAGGTATATAAGGTCGAAGGATACATGTACGGGACCGGCTACATGACCATGTAGACGAGCATGTATACGACGGTCCGTAGATGGGAGGACGAGACCGGGTCTCTGTCTATCCGGTACCCTACCAGCTACCGAGTTACGTGGATTTAACGTTCTAGATGATGAGCACGTTTAGGGAGGAACGTGGTTTTCCCCGGATGTCTTTGATGGCTCGTCTCCGTGGGCTTTCGATGTGGAGACGAAACGGGAAGTTTGGATGATCCAGTTTTGTAGGAAGATCAGGGAACTCCCTCCTACCAATATTGTAGACCTGACTTTTTAGACGATGGCCACGTTACGGAAGGGGTGCGATTTTCCTTGGGTGTTTGACAGCTCGTTTCCGTGGGCTTTCGATGTGGAGACGAAGCGGGAAGTTTGAATGATCCAGTATTGTAGGAAGATCAGGGAACTCCCTCCTACCAATATTGTAGACCTCACTTTTTAGATGATGGCCACGTTACGGAAGGGGTGCGATTTTCCTTGGGTGTTTGATAGCTCGTCTCCGTGGACTTTCGATGTGGAAACAAAGCTGGAAGTTTGGATGATCCGGTATTGCGAGAAGATCAGGGAACTCCCTCCTACAAATATTATAGACCTGACTTTTTAGGTGATGACCACGTAACGGAAGGGACGCGATGTTCCTCGGACGAGACTGAGTCTCTGTCTATCAATTACCCTCCTAGATACCATGTTAAGTCGATGTAACTTTCTAGATGATGAGCACGTTTAGGGAGGGATGTGGTTTTTCCTCGGATGTCTTTGATGGCTCGTCTCCGTGGACTTTCGATGTGGAGACGGGAAGTTTGGATGATCCAGTTTTGTAGGAAGATTAGGGAACTCCCTATTACCAATATTATCGTCCTGACTTTTTAGATGATGACCACGTAACGGAAGGGACGCGATTTCCCTCGGACGAGACTGAGTCTCCGTCTATCAATCACCCTTCATGGTAGTTGTACCGACGTAACATGGCATCTAGATACCATGTTCTGTCGAAGCAACTTTCTAGATGATGAGCACGTTTTGGGAGGGATGTGGTTTTCTTCGGATGTGTTTGATGGCTCGTTTCCGTGGACTTTCGATGAGAAGACAAAGCTGGAAGTTTGAATGATCCGGTATTGCGAGAAGATCAGGGAACTCCCTCCTACCAATATTGTAGACCTGACTTTTTAGATGACGGCCACGTTACGGAAGTGGTGCGATTTTCCTTGGGTGTGTTTGACAGCTCGTTTCCGTGGATTTTCGATGAGGACACAAAGCTGGAAGTTTGAATGATCCGGTATTGCGAGAAGATCAGGGAACTTCCCCCAACAAATATTATAGATCTGACTTTTTTTAGATGATGACCGCGTAACGGAAGGGACGCGATTTTCCTCGGACGAGACTGAGTCTCCGTCTATCAATCACCCTTCATGGTAGTTGCACCGACGTAACATGGCATCTAGATACCATGTTACGTCGACGCAACTTTCTAGATGATGAGCACGTTTAAGGAGGGATGTGGTTTTCTTCGGATGTGTTTGATGGCTCGTTTCCGTGGACTTTCGATGAGGAGCCGAAGCTTGAAGTTTGGATGATCCGGTATTGCAGGAAGATTAGGCAATTCCCTGTCATAAATATTATGGACCTGCCTTTGTACACAATAACCGCGTAACGGAAGGGGTGCGATTTTCCTAGGACGCGTTTGATGGATCGTATTCCTGACTTTTTGATGAGCCGAAGCTGAAAGTTTGGATGATTTTGCACGAAGACCAGGCAATTTCTGCCACACGCCATCACTAGGGGTGGCGATTTACCCCTTTAGGGGTGAGGAAAAAAATTGAAATTTGGTTTTTCTGCGAGCAATTAGCAATACATTCTGGTATATAATTCATCGATGAACATTTATTTAATAATTGTTTTTTATTGTGGCAGTGCTAGCTTTATATAAAGCTGACATCACCATCATTTTTCGGAAAAGTATAGCAGCAAAAAATTTTTCTTGCGCAATAAAATAGCAATAAATTAGCAAGAAATTTTGCAAGAAATTTTATTGAATTGTGCTATAGTGGCAATTCCAGCTTTATATACATAAATCAGGCTGGTGATGATAAAAAGAGTCTTACAGGAAAATTAATCAATTCTCTATAACACCCTTCCAGTAATCGTAATGTGTATCCGTATCTTTATAGATGGTGTGAGCACGTACCGAAAAGGAGGTGGCGATTTTCCCTGGACGTGTTCGATCTACCTGGTGATTCGTTTCTTCGGCTTTTTGGTGGCCCTTTGAATCTTGGAAATCCAGAATGGGGGTCCAGGAAAGAGATTCGGTCTCCCCCAGGAAATCGATTCGACCCGAAGCGTGCATCAGGCTGTTCGAAGTTACTCGTTCTCGAGGAGAGATCTTAAAAATAAAAGGAAGAGGAAACATATAAAATTCAACTCGTGAAATTCCAGACTCTGTACGAGTAGGTTGTACCTCGAAAACGGGAAAGAATAAAAAACAGGGATACCGAAATACGGCGAGTTAAAAATCTACGCTTAAGGACGACTTGTCAATAAAAATATAACGAGGGTGATTATAACAAAATCAAAAATTCTGCAGGATTAGCCCTATGAAATAATTACGATTTTCCGACGAGGGAAAATATAATAAGAAATGATGAAGTTAAAGGAAATAAGCTCAAATTTCTGACTTGATATTAAAATGCAGATCAATTTCTAATGGGGCCAATAGTAACTTTTTTATCAGTGGCGGCACCAAATCTACGATGCACGATATCAATCTAATGTCTCAAGCTGAAGAATGACAAAAGATTAAATCAGCGAAAGGGTCATTGTAAACAGTTCATTAACGTCCAAGACAACATGGACAAGAAAGCTAAAGATAAAAACTATGCAAATCACCGATCAACATTCATAGTTTAAGGTGATGTGAAAGTAGCCTCGAAGAGGTTTTGTTTATGAAACATTTCTCTGAACTGGATTTGCCGAATCGTTTTAAACATTACTATGGGAATATGGGGACTATAAGGAAGGTCCTGATACTCATGAAATTTCAATATTTTTTTAAAATTTGTTTTCAGGTATTTTTTAAATTTTGTATAAGAAATGTAATTTCATGAATCTCAGGACCTTCTCTATAGACTTCATATTCACGTTGTAAAATTTGAAACAATTCGGTACACCCAGTTCAGCGAAAAGTTTCATGAATGATCGAAACCTCAGATGCTACTTTTATATCCCCTTACGGTGATATGAAATTGTGATATATATTATACGTACCAAAAAGTCAGAATATTTATAAAACTTTTCTCCAAACTGGGTGCACGGAATTACCTGAAACTTTAACACGTGATTATGGGGGCTCTAAGGAAGAACGCGACCCTCGTGAAATTTAATTTTTCATAAAAAATGTCGCCTTCGTTCTAGCCTAGGCTAAATGCAAAATTTTTGTTGGAAAAATGAAATTTCACAAGCATCACGTTTTTCTTTAGAGCTTCCATAATCACATGTTAAAGTTTCAAATGAGTTGGTGCACCCAGCTTGGAATGAAGTTTTGTAAATATTTTAACGTTATGATATATAGAATGACCCTTTCATGTCACCTTAAGGTGATATGAAAGCATGATATGTACGTACCAAAAAGTCAGAATATTTATAAAACTTTTCTCCAAGCGGGGTGCACCGAATTACCTGAAATTTTAACACGTGATTATGGAGGCTCTAAAGAAGAACGCGCTGCCGGTTTTCGAACAAAAAGAAAAATATATATATCTTTTTTTGATTCTTGTCCAAGATAAATGCAAAATTTTTGTCGAAAAATGAAATTTTAGGAGCACTGCGTTCTTCTTTAGAGCTTCCAAAATCACGTGTGAAAGTTTCAGATAATTCGGTGCACCCAGTTTGGAGAAAACTTTGATAAATATGTTGACTTTTTGGTACGTATATATCACACTTTCATATCACCTTAAGAGAACGTAAAGAGATAACGATTCCATATTGTTTTAGAAAATATTAATAATTACCAAGACATAGCCCTAGCTCTTTCTGTCGCGCTAAACGATACACGTAGTTACCAGATATACAAAATTTGACTTTTAGTTATTGTTTATCAATTTCTTGGCAAGTAATTTGCCACACAACGAACGGCTAGGCAAACGCTGTTTGCATACGTCGTTTGAAAGGTTTTCAACCCCAACAATTTAGAGATCAAACAGTGAAGAGCACTTGGAAAGAATTCGAATGACTTCGAGGAAACGATTCGCTCGTTCCGTAATTTCCTGGGTATTACCATCGGAATTACACAACATTTCTATGCCAGTTTCTCCCGGGGGATGAATATAATTTCAGCGCTCGCGTGTACAGCACTTTTCGAAGGATCCATTGCGGTGCACTCGCTCTCTGAAAATGCTGTAGGCACCACACTCGAGCGGGCTCGTTCTCGCGAAATTCTCCTAACAGTTGTACAATTGTTACTTCGGGTAAACGCAGGCATTGAGCTCTGTGAGCGTCCTCCAGTTCGGAAGTGATGCGGTTGGGAGTTCGAGGACTGGACTAATATTGCAGAGGAAAGTTCACGGGAGGATTGGAGCTAAATTAGTGCTGGTCTCGCTGGAAATTCGGATGTTCCCTGGCGGACGTGAATGCAGATGTGAATCAGAGGTTCGAATATACGAATAAGAGACCTTTCCTGCGGATATGATGCGAATTGATTGGTAGGTTCAAATCGGAGGTGAGAATATACATTTCCATTTCTTCTTCTTCTTCTTTTTTTTTTTTTTCATTTAAGCAGATACTAGTAGGATCGCACTAGGGCTAACAATATATTCCTTAGGACTGGATCGTGAAATATACGTACCCATTTTTTTTTTTTTTTTTCATTTAAGCAGATACTTATAATAGTGGGATAGAGCTAGGGCGAACAAAATATTCCTTATCAATGTTGTTTATTTTCGTTAAGTGGATGCCATTTATCGGCTAGGACTGAATCGTGAAATATACGCTCCCATATTTTTTTTTCATTTAAGCAGATATTTAATAGTCGGATCGCACTAGGGCGAACAATATATTCCTTATCAATGTTGTTTATTTTCTTTAATTGGATGCCATTTCTTGGCTAGGATTGGATCGTGAAAGTATGTATAAGTACGTAAAACTACGTACTCGTTGTGGCTATTACTTTCAATTTCAGTAATCAAGCGGATTTTCGATCTTATTATCGATTTTATTATTTAAGAGTACCTAAAACCCATTTCATTTGAATAAATAACGTAAGTAGATCTCGGTGGAATCGTAACAGCGATATTTGCCGATCGATTAGGGATTTCGGCGTCCACGTACCTTCCAAAAGAATCGATCCTTTCAATCCCCCAGACCGATCACATTTAAAAGAGTACCTAAAACCCATTTGATTTGAATAAACAACGTAAGTAGATCTCGGTAGAATCGTAACAGCGAAATTTGCAGGCCGATTAGAGATTTCAATGTCCACGCGTCTTCCGAAAGGATCGATCCCTTTGAATTTCTAGATTGATCTTATTATTTAAGGGTGCCTAAAACCCATTTCATTTGAATAAACAACGTAATTAGATCTGGGTAGAATCGTAATGGCAAAATTTGCCGGCCGACCCGAGATTTTGGCGTCCGCGTACCTTCCAAAAGGATCGATCCTTTCAATCCTCTAGACCGATCTCATTTAAAAGAGTACCTAAAACCCATTTCATTTGAATAAACAACGTAAGTAGATCTCGGTAGAATCGTAATGGCGAAATTTGTCGGCCGATCTGAGATTTCGGCGTCCATGTACCTTCCAAAAGGATCGATCCTTTCAATCCTCTAGACCGCTCTTATTTAAAAGAGTACCTAAACCCCATTTCATTTGAATAAACAACGTAAGTAGATCTCGGTGGAATCGTAATGGCGAAATTCGCCGGCCGATCCGAGATTTCGGCGTCCACGTGTCTCCGGACTGGTCCCGGTGCGTTCGAGACCTTCGTCGTGGAACTTCCTCGTTATAAATCGGGCCACTTCTGACCCAGAAACCTCCCGGGAGGAGTGTCGGACGGCGTCGACGTCGCGGGGGCGTCCGGCCTCGGACCGGCCGGATTTGCGTCACGGATGCGAGGGCCGGAAAGGGGGACCGGCGAACCTGGAGGAGCTTTCGAGTGTATTTACGTGCGTCGAATATCGAGAGGCGGCGGCGACTACGGAAGGCTGCGAGGACTTATCGGACGATGCGCGCGGGCGGGACCGATGGAACTCCACACTTGACATGCTTTCCTGGCTGGACCGATAAGGGATCGGCAGAAAGCAAAAGGAGCGAGACGTCGCGGATGGAATGATTGATTTCCATGGATGTTTCGAATTTTTAAAACTAATTCTTGATGACATTAAGAGACATTTTGATGATCGTGATAAGAAAATGGATCTCCACACTTGATATGCTTTCCTGGCTGGACCGATAAGGGATCGGCAGAAAGCAAAAGTAGCGAGACGTCGCGGATGGAATGATTGATTTCTATGGATGTTTTTTTTTAATTTTTTAAATTTTTTAAATTAATTTTTGATGACATCAAGTGAGATTTTGATGATCGTGATAAGAAAATGGAACTCCACACTTGACATGCTTTCCTGGCTGGACCGATAAGGGGTCGGCAGAAAGCAAAAGGAGCGAGACGTCGCGGATGGAATGATTGATTTCCATGGATGTTTCGAATTTTTCTAATTAATTCTTGATGACATTAAGTGAGATTTTGATGATCGTGATAAGAAAATGGAACTCCACACTTGATATGCTTTCCTGGCTGGACCGATAAGGGGTCGGCAGAAAGCAAAAGGAGCGAGACGTCGCGGATGGAATGATTGATTTCCATGGATGTTTCAAATTTTTCAAATTTTATGAAGTTAGGAACAACGAATTTGCGTTAACACTAGAACTACCAAGAACAATCAAAATGACTGGTTTCAAATGGCCCATTCTATATAAAAAAAATCCGCCGGTAGTTCTAGTGTTAAAGAACATGAATTACAGGTGGATCGTTAATTTATGGTAATTCTTGATGATATCAAGTGAGATTTTGATGATCGTGATAAGATAATGGAACCTCGTGCTTGATATGCTTCTCTGGATTGATAAGGGATCGGCGGAAATCAAAACGTGCGAGACGTCGCGGATGGAATGATTGATTTCTATGGATGTTTCGAATTTAAACAAAAATTGGAAAGGGAAGGAACAACGAAGTAGCGTTAAGGAACATGAGTCACTTGTAAATTATTCATTAATTTTAGATACCGTAATATTTACGGTAAGAAGGTGGAATCTAGATGATCAGGAAAAATTGCACATTGATAAGGCGGAACTTCGCACTTGACACGAATTGCTTCTCCGATTGATAAGGAATC